ATGGTGTATTGTCTCCATAGAAATGGCCCTATGTTTTATAGCAGAGCGGACTGTGGGCTTGGTTGTTAGTAAGAGATAGAACATGTGTTTCTTGCAGTTAGGTTGGTCTGAACTGCACCATGAAAACCTCCATTTATATGCTGCCAGTCACCCCAGTTCCAGGAAATCTTTACTGCTTGGAAAAATGAGAAATCTGTGGGTGGGCCCCATGAAATGGATTAGGAACTGAAAGGGGTAAAGGGTAGGAGCTTTGGTAGTTCTAATGGCAGTGCTTTACCCTGAAGCCATTTGATGATGAGTAGGGATGGAGGCTGGCAGTGAAATGGATAGAAGTGACCTGAGACCATGCAAATGTAGTTATATTGGAGTCACAGAGCAGTGCTCATTGGACCCAAGAACATGACCCATGTGTGATGGTGGGTCAGTGCACCAGTCCAGTTCCCAACAGGAAGCAGATGGCACAGTCAAATGAGGATAATTCAAGGAATGCTGATTTATAAAGGGATTAATTACAAAGGCGTGGGTAGGTCGGAAGGTAGGGGAACCATTAAGGGCTGAGCAGGTAGTGAGCACTAACAGCCACAGAGCTGTTATTAAATCTAGGCCTGAAGAGGTGAGAGAAAGGAGCAATTATCAGAATCTGTAGGAAAGAGAATTGTGTACAAAAAGTCACCTTTAGGGGACTAGTGACTTGATCATGGGAGACAGCCTGCACAAGGTGATCCCATGGGACGAACAAATGCCCTGACCTCACGCCCCTCTTTCCCTTCAGGTTCCTGATGGGGCTTCCCATTCATTGAGTCCAAGAGGAACCCAGGGGCACAGATCAAGTACATAGCGCATACAGGTCAGCCTCCCGAGGGGATCCCAGGCTTCACATGTGGAGAGTGAATCTGGAGGGAAACATGGGGTGTCAGAACCCCAAATTCATAGCCACCCTTTGAATGATTTTTTCCCTTTTTAAAAAAAAGTTTCTTATACTTTTTCTTATGTTCAGTTTCTTTCACAATATCTCCTGATCCTGTATTCATTATCTTAACAAGATTTTTAGTAGCAACATTCCTTCCCCAGCAGGGGAAGCCTCTGAGTGATCAGATATTTAAAAAAAAAAATACATAGCTAACTGACATCCAGATAGTTCATTATTTTCCCTGTATAGGTTTTTCCAGTATAACAGTGTGCTTTTAAATGTTTGTAGTCTGCATTGCTAAAGGAACACTGAAGTCTTCTAATTATATTTCTCTAGTAAAATATTTAACTATTACTTCCTGAATCAAGGGCTTTAAGGTGCAGTGCAAACCCAGTGGGAAATATATTTGTTGTTATACAGAAGGACAGGCTATTTCCAGAGCATTTTTCACGATTGCTGCAGGAATCAATGAGTCAAGTTTTCGAGAGTGAATGGCCGCAGAAAACCAACTTGCTGTTGTACCAGTTCATGCAACCCCTGGGTACAAGTACTTATGCATCTCCTTTTGTTGAGTTCTCTATTTTTTTTATGAATATGCATATTGGGGGCAAAACTTCCATCTGCTCTATTTAGCTGATTCTATCACATTTGTGAGCTGTGCATCATTATGGAGCTTCAGAAAAAGATGATCATTTGCATTACATATGGATATAAAGGAGAGGAGGAGTTGATGAATTGCAAACAAGTGTAATTTATATGGACAAAGTGTGCCAGAAGTGCTTTTCACCCCACTTTATTCTGCAAATAAAATGATTCCTGCCCATTCACTTGGCCTCATGCCCAAGAACTCAGATTGGGAAGCCGTCCCGTTCGCGTGCACGTCAGGATTCACTCCATCCCTGTGGGGAAACAGTGCTCTGCACTCAGGCCACCGGGGACCCCAGAGGTCAGACGAAATCTCTGAATCTCCTAATGTCACATTTTAGATTCTTCAAGCATGGCTTCTTCATTTATAATATACACCACGCAGACACTGTTGCTAATTCAGATGTGAGAGTTTGCATGATGAAGAAAAGCGGAAGTAATGAAAAATTCACATTTCCCTGGTGGCCTCTCTCTGAACTTTGATTTCCCAAGGCAGATCATTTGCCTAAATGCCCTTAAGCTTTACAAATTTGTAAGTCTCTACATTTAGGGCGTCTTCCTCAGGGTTTCTCTGTTGGCAATAGCACTATCAGCTGTGACTCTATATTGTAAAGGCCAGGACCCAAGGTGTAGTAAGAGCAATAATAAACCCAAATCTTTTATTTATTCATTCATTCATTCATTCATTCATTCATATAGGCATTTATTTATTCATCCAGTCATTCGGTCTTCAAAAATGATTACTCCTATCCCACACCAAAGGTGAGGGATCAAAGCTAAATACTATATAGCCTCTCCCTAAACTATCAGGAGTAAACAAAGAAATACTCTTTCCTTACAAAATGGTCATTTATCTGCAAAGTTCTGTTAATTCAGTTGATTCTCATTACAGTTATGCAAGCCCTCAGACAATTTGTGTGTGAAAAATTTAGAATTACTGCAACCCCATGGCCTTGTTGTGGTAGCATATGTGCTGCTTGCATTTATGTTCAGATATCAGTTTTTATGCACATATTGCATGGGTGTACTCAGTGCTTTGCACATATTATCTCATTTAATCAACACAATCATACAAAATAATAGTACTATAATTATTTGCATTTTGTAGAGGGGAAAAAATAAGCTCTGAGCATAAGTGACCTGCCCAAAGTCACACAGTCCTCAAACCAGGACCTCCAATCTATGTATGTAGGTCAAAATTGGGTGTCTGTAATCAGATGAATTTCGTGGTAAGACAGGAGGCAGCATAAACGGAGGCTTACTTCAATCTTATTTCCATAGCCCAAAAAACTGGTCAAAGTTACCAACTGTTCTTCTTTTGCCTATATTTAGTACCTGTTCATTTTGTTCTCAACTTTTACATAACTTGAGCATGACTTCCCACTTTCTGAAGGAGTGCTTGAGGTCTGCATGCTGATTAGTTGAGCACTTTTCTTTGCCTGTGTGGGATGATGGAGTATCTAAAATTTCTTCATATTATTTTTCTCAGAACTTATGCTTGTAACGGAAGTGTCTCAATATGAAATGTCATCAATTTGGCCTCGCTCAGGAAGTTGCAAGGCTCTTGACTGTAACCTGAATGAACTGGGTGTTCTCTAAAACATGATAATCTTTAGCTGCCTATCATTTTCCCCACCACCATTTATCCCCCTATACCCTTTTCCTGCCTATCATTTTTGAAGTTTTAAAATGTGTTTTATTTCTTAACTAATTCTCTTGGCAATTTGATTAAGAAAACTGCTGATAAAATATTTCAGGGTGAAGATATGTTTACATTTATATTAATAATAGAATGGGGGAGGAACTAGAATTTAAATGATCTGATTTTTGCTTTTATCCAAAAAGTATTATGAGAATTTTATCTGTTTACCTGGAATAGAATTTCTCTAACCATGCATACCATCACAACAAACCTGAATTTGTAAATATAGGATATCCCCAGGATCAGAATAATCATTGCATCCCAGAATGGTTTTGGAACCTTCCTAGACTGGAAGACTCAACTGGTTTCAATGGAGAGGATATGGGGAAATTCTAATGCAGATTATCAGATCCAGAGGGCCTTTGTTGGCATAGTCTTGGGCAGCACATATGTTCCCTGTATAAATGTTGTTGAGTGAATAAATAAAGGAATGAGACTAGGTCTCTCACCATGTTATGACCTTGAAACACCCAGTGAGTGTAAGCATCTTTAAACCTTGAAGTGTCAGCCCTCTCACATCCTGCCTACCTTCACATTCACTCTTAAAAGGCCCGGACTCATGTCTCTCTCTCTCAGCTAAAAGCAGTAGAAAATCTAAGTCTCTCAACTACTTTACAACGTTGGCTGAACTAGTTTCTACCTTCCCACTCCTCTTTATCCAGCTCTCCATGGTCAAAAGAAAAGCCTAAGAAAGGTGAGGCTAGAGCTGCAGGGAACCTGACATACAGTGAAGGCCGGGCCTTCACTGTTGTTAGAGGAAGAAACACCAGAAAGCTTGCTCTCTTTCTGCCATGTGAGGACGTAGTAAGAAGGTGGCTCTCTGCAAGCCAGGAAGAGAGCCCTCCCCAGAACCCAACCATGCTGGCTGCCTGATCTTGGACTTCTAGCGTCTAGAACTGAGAAAATAAATTTCTGCTGTTTAAGCCATCCAGTTTATGGTATTTTATTATGGCAACAGGTTAACTAATACACAGAAGTAATCAGGAAGTTAGATAACACAGCTGGGGTTCAGGAGACAGACTGAGTTGAGGTCATTGATTTGGGAATCATATATATATAAAGTGAGGACTGACTACAAAGCCTTGTCTGGTAGGAGATGTTTTGTCTAAATATATAATATGAAAGTACTTTAAGTAACAGTAGTCTGGAAAACACCACATGCGTATAGTTCTTTTTATTTTTAAAATTAGGGCAATTCAAAATGAAAAGTATTTACACTTAAAGGTGAAATATCTGTACAAGTATTACAATTAGCTTTACTATATGAGAATTGACTATATATTGTCTCTACTTTTATACCAAATAACAATGAATGAATCAATAAAAAATTACTAAAACGTCACTGCAAGTCAGGGTAAAATGTCTCCAGTGTTAACTTGCGCTTTTCCAGTAAGTATCAAAATGAGTGTAAATGCTGCTTGGACAGTTGGTTCAACAGACACAGGCTTACTGCTATTTCCTTGCTAGCAGACACACATTCAAAACTGGCAGGAATGAAGAAATGAGGATGTGTGTTTTTGCAGAATTTATCATTTTTCACTTACAAAATAAAGCTATGTCACACATACCAAAGATTTATATTAGACCCTTTCTAATACACACACATGAAATATTAATATTTAAAATAATAAATATACATATTATTTACAATAATTGGAAATGTTAGAGATATAAATGTTTATGTACAATCACTTAGATTAAAACATCTTAACTTTAGGTTGTATCTGCAAATACTTCTCTCCCTTTCCTATTTGATCTTTTAGCTCAGGAAGCGTTAAATGGAATGCAGCTGTAGATAGAGAGTTGAGAATGTGTGTTCAGTCACTTGTTTCTGCGATAGTAATCTTCTGTACCATGTCAGACAGATTTTCAGACTCCAGATCTTCTCTGCCATTATCGGAATTTTCTGATGAGATATAACAACCAGAGTCCCTTGGGCAGTCATCTAGCTGTGACTTATTTAAGGAGATGTCTGGGCTTAAGGAGAGGGGCACAGATTCATTTTCTTGCTCTTGAGTAGCTGTAAATGGAAAAGAGGGCAGCAGTTAGGCAAAGCCAAGAAAAGTTTCATTCATGTACTCATTCGAGACATTTTAACTGTTCCAACCTTGACTTCCTTACAGTAGAAGCTTCTGTAAGTAAACAATATATTTGTTTATTATAAAAAAGGTATTTATGCTCAAATACTCAAGTCACTGTTGTCTCAGAAGACAAAGTTTGCCCTTCATGGCTCACGTGCAGTTTCATGGAATTCAGGTGAACTGCTTGCATAAGCAAAGATCAATATGGACTCACATTTTACATTAATGATAAGTTGCCAAAGAAAGCAGGTTGTATCCACAGTGTGACTGGTGCCTTGTCCAAATACTCCTTAAAGTAACATTAGAAAAATTCATTTGTAGCTTAAATGTACAATCCACATTAATAGCGATCTTTGTGAGCAATTCTAGAATCATGATAATGTGGATTAATTGATGAAAGATCACTATGGGCGACAATGTACAGCAGGATTTCATTTACTTGGAATTTAACTCATAAAACTTAGAGTATTCAAAAACAGTCATGGGGATGTAAACTACAGCATAGGAAATATAGTCCTTATATTGTAATAACTATGTATGTGTCAAATGGGTACTGGAAATATCAGGGGGAACATTTTGTAAACTATATGATTAATCTAACCACTATGCTGTACATCTGAAACTTATACAAAATAATATTGAATGTAAACTAATTTTAAAAAAGAAAGAACATACTAGTAAAAATCAGAGTATTCAGGATTTTCCTATGTGGGCAGAAAAATAGATGTAGAAACCAGGTTGCTTTTAGGTAGTAAACGACCACCGTTTCCATTGAGTCATCAAAGAAAATTCTAGATTCAACCAGTATTATCTTTTTAGAAAAAATTAATATTAGAGATGTAACAAAAGATAGATATTTCTAAAGAACCTAAGTAGCCCTATAAAGTTTTACTTTTCTCAAGAATTCTTTAGCATCAGCATGCTTTCTGCATGTGAGGTTTCTATGTTTCCCTTCCCTGACCCCAGTAAATGGGTGCTCCTCTGCATGTTATAGGGGTTCTTCAGAGAGGCGATGGACCTTAACCCACCACTTCTTAGGCACATCAGCATGTTCTGTGCTTTCCCCTTCTAACCTTGGGGCTCCCCTTCCCCACTTTGGCACTTGAATAGCCAAAACTGAAGAACCAAACATACATTTCAGGTGGGACAAGACCTCTGCCTTCAGATGCTATGTACTTCATCCCATTCTTGCCAGAAGAACATTAAGCCCCACCTTCAAAATCCTTGGGAGAAGGAAACTGTGCAATTTTCCTCAATAGACTCTTTTAGTGCTAAGTAATTCACCTTTAGGAAAGCCACCCTTTATCTTATCTAACATCTCCTTTTTAAATGCATTTTCTAGGCTCCAGATATCTTGCCAACATTAGTTTATGGTCCACTGCGTATCCACTTGTCTCAACCTCTTTTACAAGAGAGAATTAAGCCCTGGTGCCCTAAAGCATCCTTATATGTAAGGAGTTAACCTCTTGTCAGTGCATCTAGAATGGTACTAGTACTAGTTATGTGCCATCTGTGGAGGAATTGAAAAAAGAGCCACTTAAATTACTTTCGGTATTCTATGGTTTAGATGAGGAACACAGGTTGAGAAAAGCTGTAAACAAATGATAAACATCATTTCTTTGCTCATCTTCAAAGTGAATCATAACAGTCCTTTTAACTTTTTCCTCAAAGCTTTTATCTGCAACAATGAAACCCCATTGACACCATTTTCTGAATTTTCTCCAGGTTTGCCACAACTTTAACTATGGATTCAATGATCAGATATTTAAATCTAGTGATGCTATAGCTAGTTCTCCGTGTAATTTTAATATGCACCTATTGTAGGTGTTAAAATTTTAGCTACCGTGAGCATTTTCCCTTTATTAGTCATAACAACCTTTAGGTTTGGGGAAATCTACTTAGTACTCATTAGTCTTCATGAGTATCTGTTTCGTTTTTGTTTCCAAGCCCCTTTTTTGTGTGTGGAAAGCATCTCTGAAGCAGGGCCTCATTCTCCGAGGAAGGGCTGTCCCCCCTGCCTCTGCTTGCCTGTATCATTGCCACTGAAATGAAAAGAGCCAGGTCTGGGCTCCATGATCCAAGTGTCTCTGGAAAAGACCAGAGGAATTAGCCCTGCTGTGTGCTTTCTGCCACATCAGCCCTGATCACCGTACTTGGAGTGTGATCCTCTTGGAATGGCTGTGGGGACAAGGCCGTGTTTCCCTAGATTATATTTGAGCCTACCGCCTCCACACAAAATTAAAATTACTGCCATTTCCCTTCAGACTGATGTCTACAAAGGACTTGGCCCAATAAAAACTGCCCCAAATACTGTGTTCTATTAGGTTGATTATTGGTTTTGGGTTCTCTTCAAGATAGAAACTTAGGTTTAAAGTACCCCGATTTCCAAAATTAGCTATTATCCTTTCAAAATGCAAGTACTTAGCTTGTTATTTTATCCTCAGAAGCCTTTGTGCATCATTTTGAAGGGTAACAAAGTAAACAAACTAAGTGAAAATATGACTTTAACAGAGAATATGTCATTTTTTAATATTAGTAATAAAAATACATTTGTTTATATTCCCATCTGAGAAACAGTATATCATGTTCTCTAAATTCTAGGAATTGGTTTATTTTAAATACAGGTTATTTATTGTAGAAATCTTTTATCTGCCACTTTTATGGAAAAAGGAAATAGTTTCCCAGTATGAGAGTTACGCAGCACAGTAATTTACAGAACAGCAGTAATTTGCTAAATGACTTCCTAATGAAATGAAAACATGACTAGGCCTCCTCAAATGCTTCCCACCAGGCTCTCAATAATTTCAGACAGGTGATCAGCTGGAGCCCCTCAGTTATATCTATAAAAAGAAAAGGCAGGTCATTACGCTATATTGTGGAAATGAAAGCTACATAGCATTAAATTTTTGTATTGTGAGGGTCAGGATTTTTCTCTTTAGGTTTTTTGTTTTGTTTTGTTTTTTCACCCTGACACTAATGACTTCTGGATTGGCACAAACCTAATATTTGTGCTGCGGGTGGTTTTCCCAGCAGAGGGGATGGATTCACAGTAATGCACCCACATTCTCTTTCTAAGTCATTTAGTCTCTCCATGTGACCATGAAACAGAGTCAAGCTAACTGACCTACCTAGAAATTGAAACTATAACCTTCATCAGTTTTGTCCCTTGGTCCAATCATCTGAGCTAACCAGGCAAGTAGCACTGGAATAAGAAACAGTTTGCTTCCAAAATTACACACTTGCCATAGGATGTCTGAGTGCATCTTTTTTATACGAAAATCTTTGTGATATGTTAAGTTTAAAAATCAGTATGCATAACCCATGGTCACAGACAATAGTGCGGTCAATCTGTCTGGGTGGTGG